TGTAAATAAGGAAAATGTTGCAAGCTACGATCGATGATAAAAACTTTTGAGGTCATTTCGAAAGGGCGATGAGTTAATATACTTTCGTTTTTTATTTTTTATTTTATAAAAGGTGTGTATATTTTAAGGGGTTTAGCATAAATATTTTTTAGTAGTGTATAGAGTAAAACATGAAATTTAACTGTTCAAAAGACACAAAAGAGAGGCAGAAAGACGTGAGTGCGAAGAGCTTGAACTACTGACAGGAAGAAATGCGGCCCGAAAATTTTAGCAAATAAATGGCTGATTATTGCAGAGGCGAAGATTGAAATCTGGTAACATATTTTTATTCAAAATACTAGACATGATATGTAGGGAACACTTCCCAACGCTTTTGAAATGGCGACAGAGCTGGCGCGCTTGATGAAGGAGACCCTAGTTTAACGCTTAGGAATTATTCTCACGTCTCTCAACTCAACCAAGACGGCATAAAAACCACAAGGCGCCTAGAGCCGACAATATACCGCTTGAGCTTATCTCAACTAGCGCCAAAGAATTGGTAGGGCACAACCACCAGCTGTTAAGCGTAGTATATTATATTTCGCATAATCTACAAGAAGGTAAATCGTCTCATTCCGCACATTATTTATTTATTTATTTCAGTCTTGGAATACAGAATATTCTTACAGACTACTCAGCTAACACTAATTAAGTGCTACTAAAACTTAAAAATTAAGATAAGTTTTAAATACATTAAGTTCACAAGAGCTAAGATTAAATACATCGCTAGTGGTATAGCGCAGAGAAAAATGTTCGCAGATGAGTAACCAAGGCAGGGCCTGATTGTGAGAAATCAATATCCAAAGCGTTGAAGACTAGGTTAAGTTCAGCACACGTTCTAGAGATCGGAGCGTTGGCACCATAACTGCTTCTAGAGAAACCTATTTTAAAGAAATCCCAATGGCGGAGGATTCTAGAGGGAATATTAAATGCAATCTTTTCTAGAAGAGAAGGGCAGTCAATTGAGCCAGTTATGATGTTAACGACAAACGTGCACGCTAAAATGGATCTTCTGTTATCCAGTGTTGTAAGGTTGATTAGTTGGCAGCGAGAATAGTATGAAGGAAGTGGTAAAGAAAAATTTAATGAACGGAGAGCAAATTTTATGAAAACTTTTTGAACACGTTCTAATCGGTTAGCTAGAATTTTAGTGTAAGGCCTCCAAATAAACGTTGCATACTCCAGTCTTGACCTGACTAGTGCACAAAACAGAGTTTTAAGAGTGTAAGGGTTCGAAAACGCCTGACAGTTTCGGCGGATAAAAGCTAGCATCGAGTATGAGCGCGAGAGGATGTAATCGACATGACTATTGAATGCGAGTTTGGAGTCAAAGACAACACCAAGGTCCTTCATTTGGGTCACCGATTGCAAAACAGAGCCAGAGATAGAATATGATGTATGCAAAGTATTGAGATGTCTACTGTAAGATACATGAAAGCATTTGCCGATATTTAGCGTCAACTGGTTTTTGCAGCACCATTCATGAACTCTGTTCAGGTCCGATTGCAGGTTGGCTGAGTCATAAAGGTTTTTGATAGTTGCAAATATTTTAAGGTCATCAGCATAAAGTAGGTAATTATCGCGAGGTAAGCTTGCTTAACAATACATATAGATAAGGTCCTATGGACGATAGTGTCTGGAAGACTGAGGACTTTTGTGAGCCAAATATCAGAGCGTCAAATACTGGACGGGTCCCTATAAAAAAAAAATCACACTTAACACCTTTTCGTCGATTAAGCCGCTTTAGATAGTATAAAGAGAAGCTGCCCATCTGTATCACGGCAGCATCATATATTGGGTCAATCTATGTCAAATCGATCAATGGTTGGTATCGACTATTTGTGATTTGTATGAAGTTTGGTCAGAATTTTTCATTTCAATTCAATAAAAAAATTATAGAATTTTGAATTAAAAAAAAAAACAAAAATCAAGAACATACACATTTAGGCAAATTTTTTTAGAAAACCTCCAAATATTTTTTAAATATGAATTTTTGAACTTTGGTAACTTTTTTTGGAAACTCAAATATATAATACAAATTTATACACAATTTTCATTTATTTTAAATAAACGTAAAACAATTTTTTTTCCAAAGTCAAAAGTTCATACCTTTAAAAATACACCTTGAAAATTGCAGGATCTTTTGAGATCAGTTAGAAGTATTGCTTAAAAAAATTAAAAAAAAAATGAATATAAGTTTTTTGCTTTACAATTTTTTAAATCTCAAAACAATGAAATTTTTTAATTTTTTTATTATATAATTCTTTATGTTGCCCAAATATAACCTCTAAAACGAAACCAGAACCTTTTATGTAACTATAATAGTTTTTGAGATACATACTCAAAAAATAAAATTGCAAAATACTGGAAATTGTGAAATATTCAATTTTCGAATATTTTTTTTGCTCCTTAGCAGAACTTTGTTATATGATAAAAGAAAATTTCTGACCAAAATTCATCCAAATCAAAAATAGATTTGCTTGCACTCAAAAAAAAAACAGTTATGTAAATATATATAACTTTCAACACATCATTTGGTTACTATGACCAAATAATGCAAATGTAAACAAATTACACATGTGTATGATTTTCCAATGATACTACAAGGATTTTGAAATCGAAACACATTTAATTCAGTAATGCTCGCTGCTTATCTCCCCTGGAATACTTTTTTTCATCCGCATAGATATTAGCAGCCAAAGTTACTTTTTCAAAATTTCTGACCCTTTGAACCCATTGGCGCGTACAGAAAGGCCTTATTTTAATATTTTGTGGTCAATTATTATTTGCTTAGTCCTAAGACAACTTAATATCCCTTATTACAATGCGATCAAATGGCCTTAATTTTTTCCAATACAAAATCGACCCAACCCAATGTGCCTAAGTATGTTTACGTATAATTGAAATTCGTTACTGTGACAGCTGTGCAGTATTCGTAAATGTGAAAATCTCGCCATTTACAGATATACTTTTAAAAATAAATCAGACAAAACTTTTACTAGGTATTTCATAAATAGACTAAGAGAGCGTATAAGAGAGAGTAAACTCGAAAGAATGATCTCATAAAAACAAAAAAATACGAAAAGAGCTGGAAATATGCCAATTTTTATGGCACTTTTTTGTGTTTTGTATTTTCTTCGTACATACGAGTATGTAGTTAGTATGGAGTGTAGACTTCTGAGATAAAAGCAAAAATATAAAACAAAGAATTACAAAGTAAAACAAGAAATAAATATGGAGAAATAAAAAAATATAATAAATTACTACGAAATGAAATAAAAGAAAATAGGATTAAATAAAATGAAAAGCACACAATAAAATACGATACAATACAAAAAATTAAACAAGGCTGATTCTATTTCAATTCATGCAGGGTGAATGGGTTCGAAATTCGAAATCAAGTTTAATACGACTTTTCATGTTTTTTAGGACAAATAAATATACACGTATTTCTTTGTTTTGCAAAAAAAACTTCGCTGAGTTACGAGTTTCGGAAAATTTTAAGGCAAGGTGTGGTTTTAGAGAAAAACGGCTGGCAGTTTTTTTTTGAATCTTTCTTGTTGTTTTTTTTTTAAATCAATATTTTTCAATTTAATTTGATTGTAGAAGTGTTTTCGATGCTCTATATTTGCATACTTGAAAATTTGAAAAGCTTTGAAAATTAACAAAATGGCGGCGGTTTTTGGAAAAATCAAAGAACTTAATTTTCTCAGAAACAAAATTTTTAATTTTCTTGAGAAAGAGAGAACATTTTTTAATAGGTCTAATAGGCCGCTAAAACGGCTTGAAAGTTATAAGAATTTTTTTTCTGAAAATAAAAAGACTCAGTATTTTGGGTAATGTAGCGCCATATATAATGCATATACATATACATTCTGTGTTTTGATCTCAGTAGTATTTTTCATGATCTTTCTTCACGATTTAAAAAAATTTAAAAACTTTGAAAACTTCGAAAACTAAAAAAAATCCATAAATTTTTTGAACAAAAAAGAAACTCGATTTTCTCAAAATCATAAGTTTTCTTATCTTTAAATTTTATTTAAAGTAAACACGTGTTTTGACTCCTGTTCGCTTAAGCTTACGATTACGATTCTTATTATTTTTACTAAGTAATCACAAAAAAAGAAATAATGGTTTTGCGAAAATCGAGCATTTTTGGCATTTTGTTAATTTTCATAGTTTTTAAATTTTGGACCTTGGACCTTATCAGCCTTAGGACTGGCAGGTCCACCAAAGACCAGGTATTCACCATACCCAAAATCTTGGAAAAAACTCCGCCAGAATAGGATCGACACAAACCACACATTTGTCGATTTCAAAACCGCTTTCGACAACAATAACAGTAGTTGCCTTTATGCCGCGATGTCTGAATTTGGTATCACCGAGAAACTAATATGAGTATGTGAAATGAAGTAGAGCAATAGCGGCGACTCCGTCAGAATTGGGAAGGACCCCTCCGAGCCGTTTGATACCAAACAAGGTTTTAGACAGGGCGACTCTCTTTCGTGTGATTTCTTTAATCTAATGTTGGAGTAGAGCCGGAGAAAAGAATCGCTCAGGAATAATTTTCTACAAGAGAGTACAATTGCTGGCGTATGCCGACGACATCGACATAAACGTCTGTTTTGCCTTCTCGAATTTAGATAGAGAAGCAAAACGCGTGGGTTTGGTGGTCTACGAGGACAAAACGAAGTATCTCCTGTCATCAGACACTCGGCACTCACATCGCTGTTAACAATTAAAAAAATGTCAGCGTTGAAATCCAACGGAGAATTACTCTTGCCAACAAGTGCTACTTTGGACTGAGTAGGCCAAGAAGAGAAGAACAGTTTTATTCTCTGAATTAAATTTTAAGATAATATTGGTTTTATTTTTACAAGCTTTTATTTAACTTGTTTATTTATGTTCCACTGTAAAAGTCGAACTAAAAACTTTAAAGATGTATGTGTAAATATCATTTTTCTTCGGAGTTGACGTTTTTCTATCAAACGAGCGACATGTACTTAGTTATAATCATGAGCCGATAATCACTTCTGGGATTGTTTAAAAATAACATTATCTATTTAAATTTTTTTCAAATATACTATGTGTGTACTTACAGCATCTTCTCGTCGTTCGTCACCGGCTGCGTCTTATAACGATCGCGGTACATGTCTCGTCTGATGGCGCTCGGCTTGAGCAATCGCGGAGTCATACCCGCCTGCAGAGGTGATTCCCAACTAGAGCTCGCATCCGCCGGTATAGCGGGTGAAACACCATTGCTGTTTAGGAACTTTTCCATATTTTTAATACGCTCGGCGACCGAAATGTTGCCACCAGTTGTAATTGGCGATGATACAAAGTCCACCGGCGCAGCTTGTGAAGTGGCAATAGCGTTCAACGCCGCTGCCAAGTCCACCACAGGTGGTTCCTGTCGTTCCAAAGAACGTGTGCGACGTTTCAGTAAGCTTGGCGGCGATTCGCTTGCATTTTCAACACCGCTCGCTTGCTGTTCCAGCTCTTCACCGCCCAATGAACGTCGTTTTGATGGTGAGTCAGTCTTGAGTATTGGACGTACTGTCGGTGGTGGTGGCTCGCTATAATGACGGCCATCTTCACTCAACGAACCGCCCAAATCGAATTCCTCGCGGCTACTCTTTCGCGATGTCTTCAAAATGGGACGTATTTCATATTCGTCCGAATCACCGGAGGACTTCTTCTTCAATATTGGCTTAGGTGGACGCATAGCATCATCGCTGGATGCGCTTTCGAGCTTGAGTATTGGGCGGATTTCATATTCCTCATTGCTGGGCGTATAGCCGCTCTCTTCGTGTTCACCGCCGGCGGCCAATTGGTTATCGGCTGTTTCACGATACAGCTCAGCGGCCGCCATTTGTACAGCTTGTGAGATCGAGACGTGTTTGGGGGCATGGCTACCCCCATCGGAAGGTGTCGAGGTAGAATCTTTCTTCTTCAATATGCCATGCGGATGTGGTTCAGTGGCCGAGGGACAGCCATCGCTTTTGCTGCTCTCATAGCTGCTCTGCTTAAGTATGCCATGTTGTTGTTGTTGCTGCTGCTGCTGCTGCTGTATGCCCGCAGTCTCCTCCAGCGAATTGCGACGCGCCGACTTAATAAGTATGCTGCGCTCGTCCGGCGAATGAGAGCGTGAATAGCAGCGCGACTCATCAAGGCTGGAACGCTTCTTCAGTATGCCTGCGCGTTTCTGCTTTGTGGCCGGTGTGTCGACAACATTCGCCGAGAATGTGACAGGCGAAGCATTACTCGATGCAGAGCTGGACTCACCCGCAATGTGGTCTTTCTTCTTCAATATCGAGACAATGTGATTATGCGACGTTGTGGAAGGCGACGTCGAATGCATGCCGGTGGTACTCGTTGGCGCCGACATATAGCACGGATCGTCTGTGCTTCTACGACGCAGTATTGGGGAGAGCTTTGGCGGTTCGTGACCTGCATCCCGTTCCATGCTGCGCGCCTTCAACATGCGCTGGCGCAATATGCCACTAGCCGTTGAGGTGTTGGACATTGACTTCGACACATGATCGCTAGTCTCCGGATCGTAGTAGATGCGTTCCTCCTGCACGAATGTGGCATGTTTAGCTGGTGCTGTACCGGCTTCTTTTTCATCGGCTGCCACCTCCAATTCGGTGAACGATGGTGCGGGTGGTGGCGTTGGTGAGACTTTTACGCAACTCCCCATGCCGTAACGCTCAGGCATAGCTAATTCTACGACGCACTCATTGTGTTCTGCCGCTTTGCCGACTTCGCACTCGTAATCGGCGTTCAGCACAGCTTTCTCGGCCAATTCCTTTGCAATACCCGTGGCCATCGTGGCCATTTCGACATTGGCCTGCTCAGCAATCTTCTTTATTTCGGCCAAGTCACTCTTCGTGCGCTCATTCATCTTGCGGTTAACATCGTTCGAACGCAATTTACGCAACTCTCCGAGGTGTAGTGTATCGCTGCGGCGGGCCAGCCGCATGCTGCTCGGCTTTTCTTTCTTTTCTGTCTCACGCGAATTGAGGTCATATTTTGAACTTGCCGTTTCAGAACGCGCACGATTGCTTACGCTCGGATTACCTAGATCCCAACCGCGACGCGCCATTTCCATGTGATAAGCGAGTTCAGTTTGTGATGACTTGCCGGAGGCGGAAGGAGATGTGGCAGCACTCTTGTCAGTAGCATTTTCCAATTTATTCTGATGTGGCAATAACATCTCGCGCAAAACCAAGTCATCTGCTGGTACAAGTTGCCGAACCAAGCCAAGTTCACGACGTCGACGCCGACGTGCCGCCAAGGAGTCATCTGAAAGGTAAAGGAGAAGGTCTTAGATGTGGAAAGTGATGGGAAACAAGGTGCCGAAGTTGGTCGGATGGCATTGCTGCAGCTGATTAATAATTACAATAAGCAATTAATTTGAAATACTATTTTATTTTATTTTTTTATTTTGATGTGAAACATCTTTGCCTTCAGGTGGCTAAACATGGTAAATGTAATGGTTACGGTAATGATAAGGTAGTAATAAAGGTAAGCGTAATGCTTGTGGTAATTGTAACAGTATTGGTAATGGTAATTGTACGGGTACTGGCAATTGTTACGGTAATGTTGTTGAAAATTGTAACGCCATTGGTAATGGGAATCCTAATGGTAATTGTAGTGGTACTGATAATGGTTGTGGTAATTGTAATAATATTCGTCGTGGTGATTGTGGTAGTACTGGTGATTGTTATAGTGTTGTTGGTGGAAATTGTAACGGCATTGGTACTGGTCAGCGTAATGGTAATTTTAGTGGTACTGGGTATGGTTGTGGTAATTGTAAAAGTATTGATAAAGGTAATTGTTATGGTAATGTTGGTAGTAATTGTAACGACGTTGGTAATGGTTAACGTAATGGTATTGGAATGATACTGGTAATGATTCTGGTAATTGTAACCGTATTGGTAATTGTAACTGTACTGCTACTGGTAATTGTTATGGTAATATTGGTGTTATTCTCACGGCATTGGTAATGATAAATGTAATGGTAATGGTAGTGATTCTGACAGCTTTTAAAGGCAGTATGCCTCACATCACATAAAATTGTGCTTTTTTATGAAAACGATTTTATATTTATTTTTCACAATCACTTAGGCGACAGCAATTCTAACCGAAAGTATTTACGTATGTATGCATATAAACACTGTTCCGTGTTAAATGATAAGTGTCGGTGGGTTTGGGTTAGCGTAGTTATAAGAAAAAGCACCAGAAAGAACCGCAATTCAAATCACTGGACAGACTGCTCCATCAAATATAGAACACACAAAACAAAAAAAAACACAGCATTCAGTAGGTATGCAAAAACTCACATGCAAACGTATCGTATAGCACAACATACTTAACACAAGTGACACTGGTTAGTACGCAGAAGCGATTGCAGGACTGACACAGGATAAAGGAACGCAAATGCAAATGTTTCAAATATTTCTCGGCACGATGTATTTGCAACATTGTACCACGTATTTTTGTGTGCCGTTTTTCGCACGCGCAAAAAGAATGAATAGTTAATGGAGAATTTTCCGCAGCGTTGAGGTAAATTGTGATGCGTACTGAAGCGTATTGACACAAATTCTGCGATTACCACAAAGCTACATTGTACGAGTACATACATATATCTAAAATGTTGCACGCGTAACAGAAATATGTACGTAAATACACACATACACAGACGAACATTACGTAATTACGTATGTATGTAAGGCTGTTTATAAATGGGTTTTGAATGAATTTATTCATAGGAAAATTGTCGAGCTTTTTATGGTAATTTGGCGAGTCATATTTTGCCGGTGACAGGAAGAGTTGGGGGTGGTGGTGGTGGTGATGGTGGAGGAGAAGGGTATCAAATGGCATTGGCCTAATGTGGAATGTGCGAGTTGTATGTACATATGCAAGTATGTAAAAATATGTGCACTCATTGAACCACGACCACCCAGACCAATGCAACAGCGGCTGACTGTGCTGAGCCCGAGAATTTTTTTAATAACCACCGGTAGCCATAAGCCAATAGCTAACGTAATTATTTTACACGCACGCAAGCTATTATGGCGCTGATTATTTTCTAATGTATTTGTCATAGAAAGTTTTTCGTACAGCCAATTTAAAGAGTTCATAGTAGCTAGAACGACATTTAGCGGCCGCTGATTGCAAAGGCTTTGAAAAAAATTTGAAAGGTCATCTGCTTCTATGGAATGAGAATGAAGTGGCATTTCATAAGCTTTTAAGTTTGGTTCTGATTTTTTCCCTGGATTCTACTGGTTGATCTCTCGTTGAACTTGGTTAGGAATACTGAGTATATAAAGTATATTCACAGAGTTTTGCCGACCTCGAAGGTGAAAGAACCTAAAGGCGCTAATTACATTACCCTTACCAAAGCTTTTTCTACTATGTAGGGATGCTATCGCAAATACCAATTTTGGAAGCTGAGTTGTTCACTTATGAGAAACATTTACGGAAAAGAAATACCACGATAACGTAAGTATAGGAGGGGAATGAGAAAGGGGTTAAGAAGTTTACTTACTTTTGTAGACAAAAGGGAGGCAGGGATTAAAATTTACTAAAACTTTGCTTACGTAGTACCTGAATGGCCCCAAATAAGTGCGTACATTAAAGTGTATCACTCTAGATCCAAAAAAATTTTACTATTTTTCCATCGCAAATATAAATTAGTTATATTTTAAGACTTTCGCCAAAATATTTCGAAAGATATAAAGATTTATTTGACCGATTTGAAAAGACTTCCAAAAATCTTTTTTTTTAATAAATTAGTTTTTGAAAATATTTTTTCAACGAAATAACCTCGGATAGAAGACTTTAATCTTAAAAGGTCAGCATAAAAATTGTATGAACGGAATCAATATAATGAGATTTTTGCAGGCATTTTCAAATCGGTCTAGCTTAGGTAAATCATAACATATTTCTTAAGTATTTTAACGAAATTCTTAATTTATAATATATTTTGTAATTCCGATGAAAAAACCGAAACTTTTTTTTGGTTGTGCACCCTAATGCGCATACATCTTATTTCTTTATTTACCTATAATAGAAACTTCATTTGACCAAATCAATTTTGGAAGTCATTAAAACTATAAAGAAACAATTTTTAAATATCGATGGTCCTCTGCAATAACGGCACATCTCAAAATTCCATGTTTTTGAGTTATGTAGCGGATTAGGTTTATAAATAGCCATATTTTTCTGTGGAAAATCGACATAGGCTTAATTGTTACCAATCCGGCAGAAGGGAAGTAGCCAACCCTTACTACTGAACAGTGGCACATGGCTCACATTTATCGTGAATATTGACATGCTTTTATGTGAAATAACGACACTGTTCGTTTTGCGTCGTTGTTCAGCAATACAAATGGAATTTTTTTGGTTTAACTACTTACGAGTTGTTGCTTATTTCATATTTTTATACTTCAACACTTACTAAAAAAAAGTTATAATTTGAAGGCATACAAATTTCCCATACAGAATGACATATTATTGCTAAATTACGAAACACAAAATCTTTAATTGGCTCTACTTAAATAAAAGAAATTCTGAGTTGTGTCGTTATTGCAGAGGACCATCGATACGATTAGCTCCTAATCGTGAAGGCCCAAGACACCTTCAGTTTCCATAATAAAATCAAGTTTGTTTTTCTTCATAAAAATGAAAACATGTTGGGGAAAATAACCTGGTCTGAAAAAACAGAATACAGATTCGTAATCAATTAAGTCCACGTGTTTCGGCGTTTTATTTGTGTTATTTCACAACTGAGATTTTTCCTACATTGTAATGGAATTGAGATGGAAGGAAATGAGAAATGGTTTAGATGTTATATAAAAAGTAGGAGTAGAAATGTTTAATCCAAGTTTTAAAACGTCAGTAACGGACGGTCGGTCGTATTGAATACTATCTTTCGCCGAAAATTATGTAAGAATAAAAATATTTTGCTAGAGCGATACTTTTTTTTAAGTAAACAAGTAATTTTTAAGCATACAACTAACCAACTTCAATGGTCGTATAGAAATTTAAAAGTGCCTTTAGTTTATTCATGATCGAAATGATCGGAACTAAACCAAATTAGTATGGGACCACCATTCCCGATAAATAAAAAGAATTATCCAAAACTGTTTTATGCTTTTTTTGTTTGTTAATGCTCCCGACCGGGTAGGGATTTCTGTCTTCCCTTCTGAAATTTAACAAGGATACATATTACGTATCAGTATCAACTTCTAAAAACGTTGATGAAAAATTTAACTATTTTTGAAAACGAAATAGTCATGATTTCACCAGAATTGAATAATTTGTCCGAAGGATTACAAAAATGATGTATTGTGCAACGAGTTTCTGTCATCTCTTGTCAAATTAGGTTTAGAGAAGTTCATATTCCTATCCTGTCGAAAACTCGGAAACACCAACAGACAAAACGAAAAGACAAAAAAATCATTTTTTTTACATCTTGTATGGGTTCTCGAATAAACTCCAGAATAAAAAAATGATTCTCAATCATCTAGTGGCGACAACAAAGTTACGCTACATGCAGCTTTTAGACCAAATTTTCAATTGAAAATCTGTAAAAAAAAATATTCAACTAACTTTAGAGTCGACTTTATTTCGACTATGAATATGCCTCGTTGTTTTTATTTGAGGACGTAGGAGTATTTTTTGTATTAAAAAGTAGAAGAATGTGCATCAAGCATTCGAAAGAAATCTTGTGCTCGGTTCGTTTTTGAGAAATACAATTTCCAACGAATCCTATTTAAAACTCGAGTTTTTGTTTTTTGGTTTTCAGTATACGACTAAAGGTGGATTCGGCGTTCTAGGTCAGAACTTTTCTTCCATTTGGTTATTGTTGTGCTTCTCTCTCTGGGAGAGCAGATGAGAAAAGTATGAACGCTTTTCAGTTGTTAACTCAACTTCAACTATAGTTCAGAAGCAACGCAGTATTGAGTGGAGTGTCGAATGAGTATAAAATTTTCGTCAACGCTGTGTCAATACATACTTAAGAATAGTTTATTTTTCCTTAATTTTGCGGTTAGCAGCAGATATTTCAGATTGATTACTATAAGAAAAGATGCAAATGATAAAGTTCCATTTCATCTAAGTAAGTTTTTTAAATACAAATCGTTTGCACGATACTCGATAACTCACCACTATCGACGGTGGCCTCATCATTGAGTGAGCGATTCAAATTCGATTTACGTTTCGATGATTTATCGCGATCCTCCATGGGGCTGCCAGGCTGCAAAGGATGTGTAAAAGAAAATAATTTTCAATAAATTTTAAACAAAAACAATTTCATTAATAAATGTATTACTCACAGTTGCACTCATCACCGGACTCAATTCTAGCTTGCTGGGTGAATTTTCACAACTATCGGGTTTCAAATCATTGGCCGACTTCGTTTTGCCAGATTTCATGGTGGATGTGCGTGGACGTGTCAGAGTTTTTCCGGCCTTTAATATCAAATGCGAATCAGTATCCTCGGCGGTAGACAGGCGACCAGCTGTGCGGGTAAATTTGGCAGTACACTCAGTTGATGGGGATGGTGTGGCGGTAGAACGTGGTTTCTTCAGTTTCGAAACTGCAGCTTTCTTTGGACTGCCAATGGCATTGATGTCACCATTGTAGTGCAATTCGCTGAGGTTTTGCTTGACCGATACCGAAACGGAGGGTACAAGCTTCTTGGTGGTAGTCGACGTTGGGTAGTCAATGGATGATGATGTAGATGTCGTTGTTTGCAAACTTTCAATTGTTGTAGGTGATGCTGTTGCTTCCAGCTTGCCAATTGTCGTAGGTGAAGTGTCCTGATTTAGTTTCGTATCCGATTCGGAACCGGCCGTTGGGCCACGTGGATGATCAGAGGATGAACTGGTAGAGAGACGTGGCGACTGATGTTTCGGCGATACAGCTATACGTGGTGAGCTGGGAGAGCCATAGCATGGGGAGCGTGGTCTCTGAGCTATCTCGTCTTCATACTTTTTCTTATCTGCTTGTAAGAGAGAGAGAGAGAGAGAAAGGAATGGAAGAGGATGGCGAAATGGTTGGTTAGTAGTGTCAAGTTAGTCTCCAACATGATTAAGTTTACTTCATACAAGGGAAGAGATAGTGTACAATAGGATAAGGAAAATATACATACATACGAAGGAGGCAAAAGAGTTGAGTTAAGGCGAAAGAATTTAGGTTCGGTTGGGAAACATTTGGGGTCTTAATATTAATTTAAAATTTTAGTCGATTTTGGGGTTAGCAACACGCATACACTGGGGGTTCCACGTAAGCCAGTTAAGTTATTAGCTCTGCTCAACTACACTAACCTCAAGAATTAAACCAGGAGTATTTTACTGCAATGTGTTATAATTTATAAAGCAACGGAAAATATTTTTAAAAGCCGTACCATATAAATTCTGCCTTAAAATAATGTTTTTGATTGATTTTTTTTAGAAAAATTATTAAACAATGTTTTTGAGAATTTTTTAAGCACTTACATTTCTCATCAAGAATGGGTCTTATTGACCCGTTAATGAAAGTCTTTCAGTAAGACTCAAAATCGGCTGTTAGAGGACTACAACTCAATGCCAAAACAAACATCTTGGCTCCTTCATTCTTAGCTGAGAGGATCTATTTGGTCCTTTTTTTGTAAGTAGTCTAAATAAACTTTATTATCATTTTAATCCTTCCAATTTTGTACATGTATTGATCTTTTTGAATTCTCAATGAAGAATCTTCTGATCTGAACGAGCCTTTTTGACTGGTCTATAAACTAATTTATAAAAAAACAAAAAAAAATGTTTTTGAAAATTATTATAATTTTACAAGTTTAGCTATAAAATATATTTGTTTCGAAGATAATTTTGACCTTTTAAATTTTTTAATGACTTCATTGAAACAAATGACCGTTGCAGGGTAAAACTTTACCAAAAACTTTTTGTGGAACAATTTAACTCGTTATTTCTTAGCCAAAAGGATATTTTTGGCCATTTTTTTTTCTAACAGGCAAACTTTTAGCAGCTTTTAGGCATTTGATTTTGATTGTATTGAATTGTTTTTTTTTATGAACTTAATAAAGGACATATAACCTTTTTCGAAAAAAATTCCAGAAATTTCTCAAAATAAAAGGGATACGACTATTTCTGATTTGGATGAATCTTGGTAAGAACATTCCTTTCCTTTTTCATAAAACAAGGTTCTATCAAAGTAAAGAAATATTTTTTTTCGAAAGTTATGCAAAATTCTAAGTCTCACAATTTCCGGGATTTCGCCAGTTTATTTTATGAAGATGTCGGAAACTACTATAGCTACAGAAATGGTCAATATAAATATTTAAAAAATTTGAAAAATGAAAAAATATAAAATATTGAAATTAAAAAAGGCTAGAAAAAACTTATAAAAAATTTTGACTCGAGTTTTTTATACAATTCCTCACTGATTGTAAAGGTCCTGAAATTTTTTTGCAAACTCTAAGTAAAGTTGTGTTTAACAAATTTTATTAAATTTAAATTTATTTTTATTTTGGGGTCAGTTTCACGAAAGCAATTTAAGTGGAAAATGATTTTAATGATTTTGAATTTAATATGGAAACTTACTGAAAAATATAATGTTTCATTTTAACTGCTTTCGTCAGCCTCCAGTTAGAATTTGCAAAAAAATGTTTCAAAGCCCAAAAATTCAAATTTATTTTAAAAACATTAAAAATTTCAGGATCTTTTAAGAGCACTTAGCGGTACTGTATGTATAAAAAATTTAGCCAAATATTTATATAAGTTTTTGCTTTCACAAATTTTTAAATTTCAAAATCCTGTATTTTGGTTATTTTTCGACTTTTTTACATATTTTATATTAGCCACAAGTATCACCGTCTTCAGGACGAGCCCAGAACAATTTTTGCAACATTGAATATTTTTTTAAATTTTGTTATATGATAAAAGAAATGTTCTGACAAAAATTCATCCAAATCAAAACTGTTCTACTACAATTATTGGTCAATTTGACAGGGATTGACCCATGGTTAAAATGATATAGAATATTTAAGATCTAGATTTCTAACTGAATGGTTGTTCTCATACCAAATGAAAGGGTTTATAAAAGAAAAACTGCAAGAAACCTTAATATTTTCAGAAATTTTAGTAGGCAAAGGGTTTCTAACAAAAAAAGGTCCACAGGATTTTGGAAGAACATTTTTTTTCAGAGATTAACCAGTCAGAGCACAAAGTTAAGATAAATATGAGCAGAAACTTTGTTTTAATAAAAATAGTTCTTTATCAAAATTGCGCACAGTGTTAGCAGATGTCCTTTACTTGTAGTATAATATTTTTAATTTTTTTCCGCCAAATAAGTTAATCACTTGTGTTAAAATTTATAAATACATTGGTTAGGCGCCTAAAAGTGCGCTACATTTCACATAAATCATAGGTTAGCGTTAGCAGCAGCTAAATGATTAATACATAAGCCATCGATGAATGCGTCCAATGGATGAATGACTGCTGAGATGAGTGTTTACGTAATGCATTATTCATATTTAAAGCATATTTACAGGCGACATGAGTCAGATGAGTGAGCATGATGAACGTTAATAATGCAATTTCGTCATTACGCCTAAAATTATGCTACCATATAATGTACATATGTATGTATAAGTACACATAAACCGCCTCTTAGCGTCCAATCACTACAGCTACTCGGTGAGTGTGGGAGAGAGAGGAACGAACACTCAAACTGGGGGCACTCACCCAAGGCAGCTGCTCTCAAGCGCGACGCTTTCGTTGGCCGCACATAATGCGGTGGCGAGCATGGCGATAACGGTGAGCGTGCCAGCGAGAATGGTGATGGTGGCGCGCCTAAAAGTGGACTTTGCCGTCGTTGTGGCAATTGTGTGATATATCCTGTGGATTCCTGTCTGCTGCGCGTTTGTGGCGTTGCATTGTGTTGGTGACTTAGCTGATGTGCCGTTGTTGCTGTTGCCATAGTCGACGGTATAGGTATGATTTGTAGCAGTGATAATGGCTTCTTTTTCACGCAAACAGTTGCGTGTGTGTTAGGGCCACCGCCAGCAAGCATAGCGGCTTTTTGCTTAAGCAGAAATGTTTCAGTTGGCATGGCATAACTGTTGTTACTGTTATTATGGCTATTGTTGTTGTTATTAGTGCTGGCGGGACTGCTGCTACTACGATTGTGGCTTTTATTATTGTTGGGTTGGTGCAGCCGGTGCTGTTGTAGTTGTTGGCTACTATGTTGATTTAATGGCGTTGGCGATTTATTTGAAATTATGGCATTTGCAGTTGCTATTATTGTTGTTGCATGTTTTTTGGTGATAGGTCGTGTGATAGTATTAGAGGGGGTTTTATGAGTATGAGCTTCGTATTTGCGTTGGTGCAAGGCGTTTGCAGCTGTGTAAGTTTGTAAGGTCGTGAGGTTGCAGAGCATGGTGTTTCAGTAGAGAAATCCGAGTAGTGGCAGAGCAGAACAAAGAATATGTGGATGTATATAGAATAGTTATAGAGTTGCAGTAAAAGTTTTTACTATAGTATTTACAAAACATTGTTGAAATCAAAAAAGCAATGTCTCCCTAAGAGGAGATCATTCATATATTTAATGGACTATTTCTTCTGCTAAAAAACATGTAAGCTCTATATTTCGAGCCCTAACCGTAAAAATAACGCAGCCGACATATTTTTCGAAAAATGCCCATCGAAAAAAAAAATAAAAAAATAAAAAAATATAGATTTGCTTACGTCACATATTCTTGTGGTTAGGGCTCGATTTCTTGAAATGAAAATTACGAAACAAAATATCGATATGTGACCTGGTCTACGAAAAGAGAGCTTACGTGCGAAAACTAGTTTTCTGTGAAAAAGCTGTTAAAAGTGAAAAGCATCTCATCTTCCATCCGAATCAACCAAAAAGTGAAAATTGATTTTTTGACACCTAAGCCCCCTTTCCGTAGACCAGGTCACATATTTAAAATTAATAAAATTCTGAATTTTAAACTTTAAATATTCCACAGTTGCCCCAAAACACTTCACTTTCACATTGCAATTCTGGCTAAGATCGTTGACGGGCTTTTGTAAGGCCATTGAAAGACAGTAGGCAAGCTATTTAGTACGAAAGTTTGTGTTTATTCTGGCAGGAGTCTTTAAAAAAAAAGCTCCCTTGCCAACTTTCACAGTGAAAAGCTCTTTTGACAGAAAGCACTTGTTGATATCATTTTACTCACGGTGTTTCAACAGTCGCAATGACAGAGTGAGAAAAACACTGGCGAGCGATTCGAGAGATCCGAGGTTTGAGTCCTCGAGTAGTGGATTTATTTTTTATTTTTTATTATTTTTTTAATTAAATTTTCTTTTAATTTTTAGATTTCTTTGTTTTAAAAAGTATAATACATATGCATATATGTTTCTTAAATTTCATTTAACTTATATTTTTCTTATTTTATTTTAATTATTTATTTCTTCTTTTTTATTTAATTTTAAAAAGAAAAAAAGAGTTTACGGGGTGTGCATATCTCAGTGGTTAGCGCTTCTTACTTTGCACATCGATGATGCGGGTTCGATCCCTGCTGAAAGTTTATTACCTAAAACTGGAAAAAGCCTCGAAAATCTCGAAACTATCAAAATTTCTATGAAATATAATATTAAGTTTCGCGTTATTCGAATCTGAGGGAAGCCCCTAAATATCTTGCAATAAAAATAATGAAACATATTTTTGTTTTCGAATTTTTAGTACGTTTTAGTTCTTTGGTGAGTTTTGTTTTGCTCGGTTTGTTTGTTTTGTTTTTATTTGCTTGTTATTGACGTTTGTTTTAATAATTCACAATAAACAATTTTCAGAGTTGTATTCGCGAAGTTGAGGTAAATTCGTCTCAATTTCGCTGAATTTGAGATTCATTTGCAATTTGAAGTGACAAATTGTCGTAATTTCAGCAGAAATTGAGAAAAGTGTCGAAATTGCACAATTTGGGCGTCCTGGAAAAGCGCTTTCAAATAAATGTGAGTTCAGCATACGGAATTTATAAATAATAGAAAAAGTCTTCTTTAAAAACCATAACCCACACATGATATACGAGCACTTATTCTAAGAAAAATCTTCTTATAAAAACCGTCACTTTTCGAATACGACAGATCCAAAGAAATGGTCTTTAGAAGTAACCAGGGACGAAAATTTCAACAGACCTATATCCCTGCGCCTAAGCCCATCTTGGAACCATCAGTTTAGATATACCTAATGGTTTTTTATCAGCAACTTGAACACTTCCTCCTTCTTTTCAGAATGGGCACCGCAGCTGTTTATTTCCTATTGCGACATGCTTGAAGGACTTCGTTCTCCACAGTCCCGAATATCTGAGTCTTACTGCCCATGCTGCCTCATGGATCGACAATGAATTTCTATCTCGTACTAAGTCGATAGAGAAAGAACGCAAAACGATCTAAACGAATTCCTCGGGGCACATGGTCTCGGGACGTAGTGATATTGCTGGAAATAAGAAAGCAGGCGAGTGCGGAGAAAAAGATCTAAGAGAGTATTAGGAGAAGCAGGGCAAAGACTCTTCTCACGAATCAAAGCGATAGGTATGTAATCTATACACTCTCACAATACGGTTGCATCCGGAAAAAAGGCTAAAATCTCTGTCCGGCCACTTTTCGAGAACTTAAACAACAGATATATCCTCCTACTACGATTCAACGGGTTCGGTGGTTTAAAATCAGATAGGGACAGCAGGTGGTGTTATCAAGAGATAACGATAGGTTTCTACCTAAGATGCACGATAAAAAATGTGCAAAATGTTTGTATAAAATTTTAGTTAATTTCTGGTCAGGGAAAACTAACACTTTCTTCTAAGGGTCGTTTTTATAGTGGAGAGTTTTCTCCCTTGGCAATAAATTTTTTTACAAGCTTTTTAAGTCTGTAGTTCTACTGGAATGAATCAAAAAAAATTCCTCAGCATAAGTTTAATGATTTTTGGTGAGCTCTACTGACATTAGGGTGATATGTTAGTGATAAGAAAGGGGATCTAGTGGGGAAGTACTAGAACGAGTTACTTGAGGTCAATGAATTTTGGAAAAAAATTGCCCCCTACATTCGACAAAAAAATAAAAAAATAAAAATAAATCGACATTGGAAAATACTTTAGACTCAGGGGTGTACGGTGAACTTTTTTTCTGGCAGGGTCTAGTGGATATGCTTGCTTACTTATAGAATTTTAGTAGAGCTTCGAAATATAGCTGAATGGCATGTGATTAATTTGTGACTAGTCTAATATAGTGCAAA